TGTGTTTGTTGTGTCTTAAATTCGCCCTCCAAGTACATTAATTTCCTTTTCATGAAGCCATGAAGCAAGATCAGTTTTTTCAAGAATTTGTGAAGCCGACAATGAGTTAGTTTATTGGTTAATTTGAGAAATGTTCTGCTGGTGATTGGGCCAATATTTAGCATTTGATGCTTTCTGACATGTTATTTAAAGCCTTTAAGGGCATTTTCATTGATAAATGATATTCTCATTAAAGCCTTTTGGCCAGATCCATCTAGACAGAATATATATCTTACTCTCACGTTTACAGTCCAATTTAATTACTTGCTAGATAGCCATGAACACCGCAACATTGCATAAATTGTTTCACCTACTGTAGAAAAGTTTCTTTGATGCTCTTATTTTGCGTTGAAATTATTCCTAACTACTAATATGATTTAATGTTACACAATGCAGAGGGTATATGAATTGGGGGCACGTAGGATTTTGGTGACGGGGACCGGACCATTAGGTTGTGCTCCAGCAGAGAGGGCAACAAGGAGCAGAAATGGAGAATGTGCCGTTGAATTGCAGAGAGCAGCTGCCTTGTTCAACCCACAACTTGTGCAAATGATAACTGAACTCAATAAGGAAATTGGATCGGATGTTTTTATTGCTACCAATGCTTATGATATGAACACGGACTTCGTTACTAATCCTCAGGCATATGGTAAGTCATCAAAATGAATATTACTCGAAAACACATGTTTATATACATAAATAATTGCAGATGCAGCAAACTTGTAGCAATAAGTCTAGGGGATCAAAAGGAAAACAACATTGATGGAAGGATATGTATGGGACCATAAATAGTCAATGCCATATTGACATTAGGTGTACAACCACTGTGCATAAAGACCCTAGTTTGATCCTCTTTTTTATATATAATCTTTGATTTTATAAAAAATATGGCTATTTAGATACTAGCCATAAAAAAACATTGAAATATAAAAAAACAAAATAAATAAAAAATAATATCAATAAGTCTCACACTATATTGTCTTAAATTTAATATCATCTGTATTGATTAGAAAATAAAATTTTAAATATGTGAATTGATAATTATAAAACTTCATCTAGTAAAAAAATGATAAAGAATCAAGTTAAAATAAAATTCAAAGATATGCATTATTTTTTTAGAGTGTACTTGTTTTTTAGATAACTTTTGTGGTTATAGTTTAAAAAAGTAAGTTAAAAAAATATGATTAAATATAATTAATTAGATTTAAATACGTGTTTAGTAAAAATTATAATTGAAGTTTATATGTAGCAAAAAATATGTATAAAATATTTGGTTGTTGTTACCTTCTAAAAGTGTTTTTTACTTGGAAATGCATCAAAATAATTTTTTTATTTTTTAAAAATTATTTTTGATGTTAGTGTATCAAAATAATCTAAAAATACAAAAAAAATTAATTTAAAGTGAAGAAAAAATAAAAAAACATTAATTTTAAAAAAATGCTCTTCAAATACAAAAATAAATAAAATTTTATGAAACTTAATTAAAAAATATGTAAAAATTGCTTCAGCAAAAATTCATTTTAAATTCAATTTTCTAATAAACTCTATAATATAAAACGCAATGTAATATATTAACAAACACCTAATTATATTTTTTACACGGCAAACACAATTACTACAACTAACATACGGATCCTATAAGACAACAAGACTAGCCACAGTTTGGTCCCTCGCACTGCACACAATTTATGGATACTGCGGAGAAGGAAATGGTTCACATTACTTTAATTTGTAACCATGTATTGACGTACATGGTTGTCTATATATATAGTGTCGGACCAACCTCATAAGCAAATCATATATATATATATATATAACCATCTAAGTAATAGGTGGCCTAGCAAAAAAATTTACTTCCCCTTCTAATTTTAAGTTTAAGCCATTGCTAATATAATAACTATTAAAAATTTATATAATTATTAATTTTAAAGTTTATAAATTATTCAAGATATACACAATCTAATCTAAATATTTATATTAATAAAAAATACACACAGTAATTATTTTTATGAAACAGTAATTATTTCATTTCACTGGTCAAATGAGCAGTGGCTCAATTGTATTAGTATATTTCTTTCTTTTAAAAGGACTTGAGTTCAAATATTCATCTAAATACAAAGAAGAGAGGAAGAAAAAGAACAATTCATTTCACTGCTTAGTAATTGGATTTTAAAGAAGTTTCACTTGTAAGGCTAAACCAATGAACATTACTGATGCTGGTTGGTATACATATACGCAGGATTTGTGACATCGCAGGTTGCATGCTGTGGACAAGGACGTTTTAATGGGATCGGATTGTGCACAATAGCTTCCAACTTGTGCCCTAACAGAGAAATCTTTGCATTTTGGGATCCATTCCATCCAACTGAGAGAGCTAACAGAATCATCGTTAGCACTATCGTGACTGGCGACACCAAGTATATGAACCCAATGAATCTCAGCACCATCATGGCTTTGGATTCTAGGGTTTAATTAATTATCGATACCACTACTGGCTAGTCCAGTTCTTATAATTGAACATTATGAACAATTATATTCTTCATTAATATTGTTTGCTCCTTGATTAGGTAAGGTTGGTGGGTTTGTTCAGAGTATTAATTAATGTTTGATATATGTGCCAAATTCATCATCTGTTAGCTGATGGGGTTGCGCATGTACTGCCCAGATCCCTCCTTAAAATAGTACGATGATGGAAGAATGATTTGCGATTTTGTATTGGTGTCAGAAACGTTTTGTGAGAAAGCAAACCACTAGTAATCTTGTGTTTCTCCCTGTTAATTGCACTAGAGCCATTGATAACTACCGAGATGGAAGTATAGTCTTTCAACTTCTCATGAATTTGACAGTATAGCATTATGCGGCTCTTTCAAACATCCGGGGAAAGAGGTCTCATGCATGTCCTTGGACTTTAGAATACTAGCCATATGAAAAATTACATAAAATATTCTTAGTTAGAAGAATATTAAAGTAGGAATTATAAAAGTTTTAGATCATCATTACTATACCTATGTTCATTTGAGCCACGGAGTCCTAGGAATTGTTTTGCAGTTGAAAATGATCCGTTCATCAAAATGTTCCAAACAAAAAGAAATCCAGCCCACAAGAACTAAAATAAACCAAAAAGTTCTGAAAAAGAAAACTGTAGTGGAAAATTACAAAAAAAAAAGAGGAAAAATCAATTGAAACAAAATGAAAAAGAGAAAACTAACGTATCATGAATAATAAAACTCTGTTAATTTTCCAAGCATGCAAGAAAGAGTGGAGTTGCTTGTCAGTCTTGTCTTTCTCACCGATAAAGTTTCTTTATGAAAAAGATCATGGGTTAATTAGTGCAGTTGTAGTGGATATCTGGAAATGTAATAGAGTGTTTTTCATTTAAAATAATATATTTTTTTTATTTTTTAAAATTAATACATCAAAAAATTTTAAAAACATTAAAAAATAAATTTTAATAAAAAAAGTTAAAACTTACTCTAATATCCTCAAAATATATAGTTGGAATATTCTACGATGAGAGATGAAAGCTGAATGCACTCCAAACTATTTTTGAAAATTCTAAATTTCAATTTAAAATCTTTGTCGGGGTAATGATTTTAAACAATTATGATTACTAACAACAACAATATGCTTGTAAATATAACGGAAAAGGGAAAAGGGTAAATTTGTGCCTAAACTATTATGTCTATCCAATTGAGTCCATCACCAATCAATTCTTGCAATTGAGTCCTTTACCTATTTTGATATTGCTCGATTAACCTCCTTTGTCATTCTGAGAGCAACATTTTTGAGGCAAGACTGCTAAAATTGAAGACATCTATGAGTTACATGAAAATTTTCAAAGTAGTGTTTTTGCTCCGAAAAAAGCAGTGTGCCTGACCAATGTAAGATTTTCAATGTAGTATACTTATTTCTTCAATCGAAGCAGTTGGGTACATTAACTTGTTAGGTGGTTCTTAATTTGTCCATTATGTGATGATGGGGCAGTTTGACTTTGAACATCTAACACCATGGAAGAATTTTTCCTTTCCTTTCTTTTTTTTTCGCCCTAGCTTCCTTCCTAACTTACATTAAACCATGATAATAGTTTTATTATTATAATTTCTTTGCAACTTTTAAAAGATGTTTTCAATAAAATAATAATAATAATGTTTTACAATCAATATATTAGTAATTTATTAGTTTACAATGCAATACCATGTTGTTGCTCAAATAAAAAATAATTCCAACATAAGGAAAGATTTCAAGGCCATAAAAACTATGTGATATTGTTATAAAATTCCATCTAATATTCAACTTAAAAATTATTTGATTTGATTCGAATTAATCTAACTTTATTTTTTTTAGTTCGGATTTAAAATTAAATTATATAAGAATTATCCTGATATGATCCTATTGTGTATTTTAAAACTTAAAAAACTATTTTTTATTTAATTATAGATAATAAAAATATATATTTGTAAAATTAAATACAAATCAAATATTGAAATATTTATTTGGAAATATGATAATCTCATAAAAAATAAATTGATACAATTTATAAAAATAAATTCAAAATCAAGCTAATATTAAAAAAATTAAAAAAAATAATAAAATTGATAAAAAGGGAAAGGGGGATTCAAAACACACACACAGAGAAGTTAAAAAAGAAAAAGAAAAAAATAAAAATCTAGTGGTAGTCGTAACTACTCAAGCCAATATAGACTTTCACCATTCAAGAATCCTTTGGTGTTAACCAACAGTGATGGAGGCCTTTTAAATTTTGTTAGTGTAAAGAGTTCTCTCCTGAAAACTCGATGTCTCTCTTTTCTTTCTAGTAGATGGAACTTAGATATAAAAATCCTGTACTCTAGTTTTCTATATAGTTAAGAAAAGCTTCTTTTCTCAATTAATAAGAAAAATGAGATGTTATGGAGTGATTTTCTCTTTATAACTTAGAAAAAATCTATCCAAACCTCATCAAATAATCTTGTTAAATTATTTCTTTCATTTACATATCACAAAATTTAGGATGGTCCAACAATAGAAGTTGAACCACCAACATCAACATTCATTGTATTTACAGGAAGAAAGCTAATATAAAGATGCTTTTAAAGATAATAAAAAGATATTTTTGAAAATTAAGAGACATTATATATATCACCCAATGTGTGTCAGTACCTCCCACACATCCAAGAATGTCATACACGTATATCTATTTTTTAATTATTTTTTTATTTAGTTAAATATAGAATTGCCCTGAATATTATTTTCTAATTAAAAAAATCATTATAAAAAATAAAAAAATGCCTCTCGACCTCGGACATAATTTTTTTTACTTTAAAGATATTTTCATTGTTTTAATATATTTTTAATTATTTTTTATTTTTTATATTTGATTACATATCAAATTTTTCATTGTCTTAAATTATAATAATGAGAAAAACGATTGTGAGAATAGAAAAATACTCCTACAAGTCAGGTTTAAATTTTTTTTATTCCAATAATATTTTAATTGTTTTATTGTGCACTTAACATAGAAATAGACTTATTTGTCCTCTCTACTTGAAAATAACCATATTAATCACGTTAAAAAAACTTTAATGTTGGATAACCTTCATTATGTAATTATATATTTTATAAAGTATATGGTTATTTTCAATCATGATTGTTAGTACTTCATATAATTACATAATGAAGGTTATCCAAGATGTCATTTGTCAAAAATACATAAAAAATTAAAATTAAAAATATTTGTAAAATATTTCATAACGTCATCTCATTTATAGTTTTTCTCGAAGCTTTCATGATCGTTCACCTTAAGACTCGATCTGATACTTACTTCAAGGAAATACAGGGTTAGGCAATTCTGCCCGTTTCGGGGGCATAACTTATTATTATGGAAAGAGGATAGTGCTTTTTTTTTTTTATTGTCTTTAAGAGGTTGATTAGGTGGGGCGGTGCTTGAGGCTTCTCAGCCGCATCAGCTAGTCCATTCTCATAAATTTCAGGTATTAAACCTGAGAGCTAGAAAGAAAAAGGCAAAGTTTTTGTTTTTTGTTTTTTTTTTTTTTTGAAGTGGAAGTTGAAGACAGCGTGTGGCTTTCATTCTAAAGCAGTACTGTTTAGATATTAAGAGCCTGAAAAATTTAGATAACATTGAATTTAGCCCCCGACCCTGTGGGCTCATCAACGGTTAGCTGAACTGTTTTTTACTGCTAATTAGTCACATAGGTGTTAGAAATGTAATCA